TCTTTCTTTCTTTCTTTCTTTCTTTCTTTCTTTCTTTCTTTCTTTCTTTCTTTCTCTATTTCTCTCTCTCTCCCTTTCTTTCTTTCTTTCTTTCTTTCTTTCTTTCTTTCTTTCTTTCTTTCTTTCTTTCTGGGACATTGTTTTTCTGTGTAGCCCTGGCTGTCCTGGAACTCTGTAGATAAGGCTGCCTCTGCCTCCCCAGTGCTGGGATTAAAGGTGTGTACAACCACACAGGGCTTTTTGTCTTTTCTTTTTGTAATTAAAAAATATTTATGCGTATGAGTACTATACCTGTATGTGTGTGTGTGTATGAAGCACATTCACACCCAGAGTCTCAGGAGGTCATTTCTCTGGCTCTACTTGCTGCTCTTCCAGGGGAGCCTAGTTCAATTCCCAGTACTCATGTCGGGTGTATCACTAGCATCTGCAACTCTAACTCCAGGGGACCTGATGCCTTTGGTCCCCAGGGGCACAGGCACTTGTGCACATTTTTATACACATACATAATTAGAAATAAAATAATTTTGGTTGGAGAGATGGCTCAGCATTTAAAAGCACTGGCTGCTCTTCCAGAGAACCAGGATTCTATTTCTAGCACCTACATGGCAGTTCACAAGAATCCAATTCCGTCTTCTTGCCGATTCAGGCACTTCAAGGCACATGATGCACATACATGTATACAGGCAAAGCACCCGTACATATAATAAACATAAAAATAATAAGGGTGCCTGTTGTGATGTCACACGCCTTTAATCTCAGCACTTGGGTGGTTGAAGCAGGTGGATCTCTGTGAGTTTATGACTAGCCTGGTCTACATAATGAGACCCTATCACCAAAAAAAAAAAAAAAAATAGCTAGGTGGTGGTGGTGCTGCTGTATACCTTTAAACCCAGCACTTGGGAAGCAGAGGCAGGAAGATCTCTGAATGCAAAGCCAGCCTGGTCTACAGAGTGAGTATTAGGAGGGCCAGGGCTACACAAAGAAGCCCTGTCTCAAAAAAATTAAATTAAATTAAAAATTAAGTAAAAGGGGTTGGAGAGATGGCTTAGTGGTTAAGTGCACTGACTGCTCTTCCAGAGATCTTGAGAATTCCAAGCAACCACATGGTGGCTCACAACCATCTGTAATGGGATCTGATGACCTCTTCTGAAGACACAGGTCTGAAGACAGCTACAGTGTACTGAAGACAGCTACAGTGTACTCATATATCTAAAATACATAATTTTTTTAAAAGGGGGCTGGAGAGATGGTTCAGTGGTTAGGAGCACTGGTTGCTCTTCCACAGGCCCTGAGTTCAATTCCCAGCAACCATATGATGGCTCACAACCATTTGTAATGGGATCTGATGTCCTCTTCTGGTGTGTCTGAAGACAGCTACTGTATACTCATATACATATATAGTAAATCTTTAAAAAATAAAGTAAAAAGTATTAAAATAAACATAGTTTGGTTTTGTTGTTGAGGCCAGGTGTTTTATGGATATATTATCTTGAGCTGGTCCAATTCAGTCTAAACAGACAGGGTCTCAGGCTGGGGATAGAATACAGTAGTAGAGTGCTTGTCTGGCATGCTTGAGACCTTGAATTCAATCCCCATACCAAAATAAAACAAAAGCAAAAAGGCCCAGAGTCTCCATATGTTTTTATTCTTTCAATCTATTGACTTTCCTTTTGAGATAGTTGTCCTGCAGTCCAGACTGCCTTGAATTTGCTGTGTGGTCGAGGGTGAACTCCTTCTGAACCATCTGTGTCTACCGTCTTCATTTAGAGATCGCAGTAATGTTATCATAAACATACAGCCCCCATAGCTAGACCCCTAGGTTTCTCTGTGTAGCCCCCCTTAGCTGTCCTGAACTCTCTCTGTAGACCAGGCTAGCCTCTAGTTCAGAGATCCTCCTTCCTCTGCCTACGAGGTATTAAAGGGGTACACTACTAGGCTAGCCTCCTGCCTACAAGGGCAAGAATTTAAGGTATACAACTCCCTTTTTGTTTCTTCCTTTCTTCCCCGGAGACAGACACTCTCTGTGTAATCCTGTCTGTCTTAGAACTGGTTCTGTACACCTGGCTGGTCTTGAACTCAGAGATCTGCCTGTCTCTTTCTCCTGAGTGCTGGGATTATAGGTGTGTGTCATCACTGCCTGACTAATTCTTCGACTTTAATTTTTTTTGTTTTGTTTTGTTTGTTTTGTTTTGTTTTTCGAGACAGGGTTTCCCTGTATAGCTATGGCTGTCCTGGAACTCACTCTGTAGACCAGGCTGGCCTCGAACTCAGAAATCCACCTGCCTCTGCCTCCCAAGTGCTGGGATTAAAGGCGTGCGCCACCACCGCCCAGCTAGTCTTTGACTTTCAATAGTGGATTAAAAAAAATTTTTTTTAAATCTTTGACTCTCACCTACATTTCTATAAAACAAGAAAACATAGAGACTGAACTGACCAAACATGTTAGTAGATCACTGACCAAGAAAGATAAGATATAACTACACATGAATAATCAGAATAATATGTTCTTGTTACAGGTACAGCCTGAGCATTCTTTAATTCAGGCAGAAAAACAAAGGCTTCCCTTGAACTGGGCAGGACTGTTTAAAATTTCAATTGTCTAGCCAGGTTAAATAGATCAAATCTATTAGTAACTAGCAAGTTAGTAATTAACACTGAACCCCCATCAGTATAAGAAAATTCCCTTTCCATCTTGCTTAAACCAGCTGCACCTTCTGGGTACAAACAGAGTTTGAACATTATTCTGTTTGTCGGTGGCTTATTGTGTGCCAAGTAGATACTTTATATAATCTCTTTCTCTTCCCTAGGACAGGTTTTTCTATGTAGTCCTAGCTGTTCAGGAACTTGCTCTGTAAATTAGGCAGGCTGGCCTTGATCAGCCTGCTTCTGCTTCCTGGGAACAAAAGCTTACACCACCACCATTCCAGGATACTTAACCTCTTAATTTTCACAATCCAGGAAAACTCAAATTGAGGTAATGTTGAATTCCAACTTTGTGGATGTAGCTAACCTAATAAACTACATATAGACATAGTCACATTGTATTATGTTTAAATGTATAATTTTTAACAAGAAATAGCTTAGCTGTTTAGAGCACTTGTTTTTCCAAAGGGTGTTGATTTCCAGCACCTAGAATATTGATTATAACTATCTCTAACTCCAGTTTTAGGTGATCCAATCCCATTTTCTGACCAGGCATCATGTCATCATGTGTATGATGTATATACATCCATACACTATACACACACACACACACACACGTGTATGGATGTATATATGGATGTATGTATATATCCATCCATCCATCCATCCATCCATCCACACATGCACCATTTGGGAGAGCAAGGCAGAATGACTGCTGAAGAGGTTTTTTTTGGTTTTGTTTTTTTTGTTTTGTTTTTCCGAGACAAGGTTTCTCTGTGTAGCCCTGGCTGTCCTGGAACTCACTCTGTAGACCAGGCTGGCCTCGAACTCAGAAATCCGCCTGTCTCTGCCTCCCAAGTGCTGGGATTAAAGGCGTGCGCCACCACTGCCGGCTCCTTTTTTTTTTTTTGGGATTGGGACTGCTGAAGAGTTAGAGGTCACCATGTACTGCACAATGAGACTAGGTTAGTCTGGGCTGGAGTGAAAGTGTTTTCAATATTTCTTTTTTTAAAAAAAGATATGCTAGTGATTAAATATTATTTGACTTGGCCGGTGGTGTCACATGCTTTTACTCCCAGCACTCAGGAAGCAGAGGCAGGTGGATCTGAGTTTGAGGCCAGTATACAGAGCGAGTTCCAAAACAGGGAAGCCCTGTCTCAAAAAACAACAAAAACTCCATTATTTTTGCTTAATTTTCTGAGGTTAACATCTTTACTAAGGGTGGATCAGGTAATTTCTCAATAAGGAAGACCTGATTTAGGTCTTTTCCGCCAGAAGGGAACTCTTCTTTTTCCTATTTACAAAACCGGGCCGATCGTAGTAGCCTCTTGGGCTAGAACACGACTGTATAAACCTCTAACATTGTGTAGGCGTTCAAAAAATGGTAGTCGTTTCTTGCAGAAGAGAGTTGGTAATGCAGAAAGCAATCCGCATTTGGCTACATTGAAGTCTCGAGGCCTTCAGTGGGAGGAGGTTCTGGGTGTCTCGGTTCGGCGGCTGGCCGTTGGCGTTTTCCCGCGCAGAGGGCAGGGCGGAGCGCCAGTCCCGCAACGTGGTAGCTAGACCCACTCTCTGCCAGAACTACACCTCCCAGCAGGAACCACGCTGGTTCGCTTGGCAGGTGGCACCCATTGGTATTAGCTCGCCATACGGTGCTCACGGTGCTCGAAGGAGCCAGAGTCAGAAGTTGTTCCTAGGAGCTCGCTGAGAAAAGACAGGTCTTTTGCCGCGCAGCACTCTGGGAGTTGTAGTTCGCTCCCGCAACGTCTAGAAGACAGGCTTGCTTTGAGTGGCTGTACCATATCACGTGACGACAAGACGCACACATCGAGTATCTTGCAGTGTTTTTGAGGTCATCATAGCGCGACTACACGCTTTAATAGTGGGTTCTCTATAGGCGGCAGATAATACGACCCCCAAACTCCGACCACAAGCAATGCCAGCATCCCTGCCGCCTCCTCATAGTCCCTCTCGCTTAGCTCCCAGAGCTGTATTAGCCAGCAGGGTAACCCCATTTAAGCTTCAAGTACTGGCTCCGCCCTCTCCCGTGACGTAGAGATCACGTGACGGGCAGGGCCGCCTCTGCCGCCGCCGCCGCTTTGTAAGAGGCACATTGGCAGGTAACGAGCGGCGGCGGCGGCTGCGGGTCCCGAGTTCAACGAGAGCAGCAGCGGTAATTGTCACCCTGTCCTCTTCAGTCTCTTTTCCAGAGCCCTGAACCCTGCAGTGTATGCTTCCTGGACCTGGGCTAAGGTCTTCTGAACTCCCAACCACCTTTGGGATGCCCCAGCGTCTACCCGGGTGGACCGGGCCGAGCTTCCCTCGCTGGCTTCATGTTTCCGTAGCGTGTTCAGGCCTAGGAACTCTCCTTCCTCTCCCGCTCAGGTTGCCCTGTGCTTCCTGCTCCCCCTCAATCCTAGTTGGCCGGCCCCACCCAGCCCCAGGGGGCGCCTTCCCCTCCCCCCCTTTGGGTTTTTATCCTGGAGGGTGTGGTTTTCTCTCCCACCTCGGTCCCTGCGTGTTGGCTGGAGCTCCTCCGCCACGCTGTCGCCCCATCCTGACCACCTTTCCGCTTTCCAGGCTGGCGCCGGTCGTGGAACTGGTCTTAGAGCCCAACTTTTGCGCTCTAGTCTCTCTACTTAACCTGAAGGCATAGTTCAATTTTACTACTTTTCATTCCTTAAGGTCTTTGGTGTTAGTTGAAACTCAAGTTTTCTTCCTCATGTCCTGTTCTTGAAGTCTGGTTGTGTCATAGTTTATTTATTCTTTAATGTGAGTTAAGAGTGCTTGTGAACTGTAAAACGTGTTGTTAGAAATTCAAATAGTAATTCTGTAGCCTGGTGCGTTCCAACTCAGTTTTTCTTACCAGTTTCTTTCTCACTTTACTGTTGAGCTTTCCCACTTTTCCCCCTGCGTTTTCCGTTTTAGTTGCCCAGGCATATCAACTGTCACCACTCAGGACTTTTTCTCTTGGGGTTGGTCTTGGAATTCTTCCTACTGTTTCTTGCTTTAACATAATCGCGTAGTTTACTACCACTTCTACGCCTTTCTACTTTGTTTCCAAGATCCGTATTCTGCCTACTTTTTACTTTTCTCCAGCAATTGTGTACAGTAACAATTGGAGCTTTAGGCTATTCCATGAGGTACCCAGAGATCATCTTTTATTTGGAGAGTATGCCTTTTTT